AGATTTTACATTTCATGTAGCTTTTGAAAGGATTAGCTGCTTCAAACCATCACACAGTGACAGGCAAGAAACCCAACCACACCTATCACCATTTTAGTGAGTATGATTAGGTACAATTGGGGTCAGAAGTGAGAACCAAAAAATAGAGAAAAAGGATGAGATTTAGTAGTGTTGATACCTGTTGCAACTTAGAATTTCCATCTCTAAATATGAACTCTAAAGGGGAACTTTGATAACCTGCCAAAAGAGTTAAAAATATTGATACTTATGTTTGTAATACACAAAACCGGGAATAATTTTAAATTTCCATTATTAAGAGGAATGTGTAATAAATTGTAATACACTCATACATAAATGTTCAGACAGCATTTAAACAGAATGACCTAGATGTAAATATTTAATGTTCAGTAAAATGACATTTTTTGCACAGAGAAGAAGTGAAAGAAGTGAGACTGAGATGGTAATGCAGACAGACTTTGACTATGACCTGATGGTTCCTTTAAAATGAAGGAGCAAATATTATAAAATATTAAAGCTTCTTATATCTGGATAGCATATTTATTTCTCACTGTGAGTAGAATCTGCTGGTGGGTGTGCACGCTATGAGTAAGAAAGAGAGAGGAATGTTTTGGTTTGAGAGGGAACTTCTAAGTTTTGCTAATAATTTTTTAAGACTGTGCTTGCTGTTTCCTAAGCCGTGCTCTAACTTAGAAAAAGAAATAAGGTGTTTAAGTTAAGAAGGTTGGTATGTCTAATCAGTCATCAACTCTATTCAATTTCCTTCTCACTGTTTATTTGCCTGAATTACCACCTTTTTCTTTAAGTTACTGGTAAAAGCAGTATTTATTCTTAGAAAATTAAGTTGTAGATGCACAGTCAGTTTTATAGATATGTTGTCTTTTTTCATTTCTTCATTTCAAATATTGCCTTGGGTTTCTATGTTTCTGCACATTAGTAGAAGGTTGACTTTAATACTTAGAAATGATAATTATTAATCTCATTGCCTTTGCCTGGAATTAAAATTGCTTTCTTTGGTCTTCAATCTTGGTCTTTTTCTGTGGTTTTCAAGATCACTGCCAGCTTCAGATCTAATATGGCCTTGTTACGTTTCTTATCAATAGGCTTAGGATAGTTCCCACACATCTGAGCTTTTAACATCCCCAAGAATTATTTCTCTTAATGCTCAGCCTTGGGAAACACTGACTGACTTAGGATAATTTCTTGTAATTTCTTTTTTACAGTACAATGTTTTAAAAATCATGTTGAATCTTGTCTCTTTGTAGTCTTTTGCAGTACTTCCCCTGGTAATTTATTCACATAATTCATAAATGCACGTGCCCTTCAAGGTTTAGTGTTAATGATCCCCTTCCCGGGGAAGCCTTCCCTGAACCACTCGTTTTTATTAGATTCCCCTGTCATTCACCTCTCCTCATCCTTATGATCAGCTGAGAGCCTTATTTAACCCTGACTTTCCTGAGGAAAAAACTATGTCATTATCTGTATATCTATATCAAGATAGACAATAGAGATAGATAGATGCCAGCTAGCTAAATAGGTAATAATATAAATAACACATCTATCATGTCATCTATCATGTGTTGTTATTTATTACCTATTTATATAAATTTATTATAATTCTTTATTACCTATTTATATAATAGAATAGGTAATAAATTTATTATAGCAATTTATGTATATTTATATATAATTTATATATTTATGTATTTATATATAAACATTTGTATATTTATATATAATTTATGTATAAATATATATATAAATTATGTAAAAATACACACAATACATATAAATATATATGTTGTATACTTATATATTGTATATATTTATATATAGATATATAAAATAAATTTATATTTATATATAAACAATATATATAAATAGGTGATATTTAAGTATATATAAATAAATAGGTAATAAATAACATGCTAGATGACATGGATGCATTTATTATTAGGTATATGGATTATTAACCAATAATATAATTTTTATGGATAATTCATTATTGGATGGATTATTGTAATAAATAATAAATACATTATAGATAGATAAGTAAATCTATAACCAACCAGTGCTGAATAGATAGAAAGATAGATAGATAGATAGAGATAGGTAGATAGATGAATATAGATAGGTAGGTAGATAGATGGAGAAGTAGATGATAGATAAGTAGATGATAGGTGGGTGATAGATGATATGTAAGTAGATGATAGATGGATAGATGATAAATAGATAATAAATAGAAGATAACTAAATAGATAACCTTTAATCAGTGCTGAATACAGGGTTTGATGCAGAATAAATATTCGATGAACAGCGACGTATAAAAAAGTTGAATCAATGAAAACAACCCATCGGACTTATGAAAGGACAGGTGTCTTCCAGGGTAGTCAGTATTAGTAGGACAAATTTGCTCTTATTTTCTGTAGAGTCACACTTAAAATTCTCAGACTGACATTTCAGTGTATTTGGGTAACTATCACCAATAGATATCATGCACAATTACAGACCATGCATATAGTTTAAGAAGAAAAAAATAAAACATCACTTATATGGAAGGAATCCGACTCTCCTTGTTTAACTTTCAGGAACTGCTTTTTGGAGCACCAGATAATTAAAATAATAATTGGGACCATAGAATCCTATCCACTGATCCTACATTAAACTTCTGACACCCTCAAAAATCTACATGATTAAAGCTGGGCTTAGAGGAGTTGTCCTCACAAAGACCGTGCCCTGCACTGTGAAGATAGTGTTCCGCTTGGCTCCACCCATGTGTGGACTTCAAAATTGGACTACACCATTTATTATTTGTTAGAATACATTTATTCTGGTGCCAGAGACACTTTAAAATTAATCCGTTCAGTAGAAAATGTTGACTATAACAAAAAGAAAGGGAAATTGACCAACTGAGAAATACTTGCAACATGAATAGCATGTAAATCTAATTAGGAATAAGAAGGCAAGGAAATTAAGGAGAGAACTTGACAAATGGTCTGTAACCTCATTTATTTGAAAATTAATCAAAAATTAAATATTATTTTGTTAACTAATACGTGATGACATGGATGTGTTATTTATTATTGGATAAATGCATTATTAATTCAGTTTCTTATAATTTGGATGGATAATTTATTGATGGATAGATTATGATTATGATAAATTATAAAGAAACAATAATTAATATTTCTTAGAATTTTGCCAAACTTTAAAGGAAAGCAGAAATTTGATATAATCAATAGAAAGGTGCTCTTGTTTACTATTGGGCTGGGTACATCGTTGCAAACTTTCTATAGGACAATTTGTAAATCCCAGCCCCTGAAAATGTCCATTCACTGCTCTCTGTACACATGGAGATATACAGGAGATTTACCAAAACAATTGTAAAATTTTAATCCTGTGAAATGTAATAGTTAACAAAATAATTATTGGATAAATGGCAGAAAGATATTGTCATAAATAGGCATTTCTGTAATGAAATCATTTATCATTGTGGGTTTATTCTTTGAGGAAAAAATATTTATGGCACATGTTTTCAAGAAAGTAGACTTTTTAAGTTGATAACAACACACATTCAATGTTAATGGTTGCTGCAAAATAATAATACTTTTGCATGATGATTTTGTAATTAATATTTAGCCCAACACCAGAATATGATATCTGGACTACCCCATTCAGTACAAAGTTCTTTCTAGGGCACCAAAGTGATCTTGCATCTGGGTTCCATGACATGGCTAATTAAACAACCCCAATTTTTTATCCTTATCGTTTAAAAGAAAAACATAATTATACTGTAATCTATCAATAACTTAAAAATCAAATAAGTTTGTGCTTCCCAGAATTTTCAGAAAATTCAGAGATTGAATTAAAACCAAAAAAAGTCATGTTTATAAAACTGTATGTGCATGAAAGGGCATTTTATAATTTTCTCCAAAGGCATTCATTGTGCTAATCCCATCTATATTACAACTGTGCTCTGATAACCGATGAAAGGATATTATTTAGTTATCAGGCTTGATAAAATAATAATATTGAGGTGAAAATGCAGTGAAACTAAAATTCAGTAAGACTACTGTGTACCTTTTAAATATTCATATAAGAAACAAGATATGTTTCATTCCCTTTGTGAATTATCACTTTGAGATATGGTAAAATAGCTAAATAACACCTAATCAAGAAATTTGACCTTAGTCCTCTCTCCTTTCCAATGTATAATCCATAATAAACTTGCTTTCTTTTTAATTCAGTCAAAAACGGACAACACGAAACTCTAACAAGCTCTTGACCTGTGTTGGCCCTTCCTGCATTTTCATGAGTGGATGATGTAATTCATTATTTCCACTTATATGTTGAGAGCTCTTGGCCAGCATCTTTGCTATTCAGTCTATAGTAATCTGTACTTAATAGAGTGCTGGAGCATGTCAGGATGAACAATTAAATATGATTGTTGTCATTGACAACCAGCAGTTATTGCTAAAAATGTTCCAGGCAGGAATGTGAGCATTGAGGTGTAGTAAAGGAGAAGTTTAAATGAAGTATGTCTTCTAGATTATGACAGTTAAATGCTATGATTCAAATAGTGCTTTCTCCTTCAGTCTATAGACATCGTAACAGAGTTTCTCTTTTGCTTTCCATACTTACTGGCACAGGGAGTTAATGCTTTAACTGGTCAGACTTTTGACTAAGATTGTGATTGGTAATTATTTGGTTTGTTAGAGCAAGATGGGGCTCAGGTGGGGGTCAATTATTCCTGAATAGGGCAAGAGAGGACATGCTCTTGAAATCGATTAAAAGAACAAGAGATGACCCTTACGTGAACAGAGAGAGAAAAATAATAATTGAATAATTTGAATAATGAGACAATAAAATGAGATTGTCAGAATTTCCACATAAAAATACCTTCCATAAATGTCCCCTTTTGCCCCAATGATGCTTCTAAAATGGGTGTTCTTACAGTCAACACCTGCTGTGTGTGTGTGCGCACGCACAGATGGGAAGGGTCAAAGGAGAGGGTATCTGGTGAACAAACAGCTGGCATAACTAAGTCAATAAATGCCCTTTGGTGAAATCATTTAAGCTGCTGAAAATTGTAGTTGTCCTTTCCCTAACTCCTAAAATAGGAGTACTAACTAAATTTCCCAGCATGGAGATAGAAATGTTTCAAGATGAAAATTTCCCAAGGTCGACTCAAGAGCAATATCCTGGAGGAATTTGAAGGGGTGGATATAAGCATCTCACTGTTTCCAGAAACGGAAAAAAAAAAACAAAAAGAGTGCCCACAAAGAGGGGCCGGTGAGTTTTCAGTGACACTGCAAAGACGGCCAGGTGAGGGGCGGCCACAAAGTGGGCTGGCAGCAAAATGCAAAGAGTGAACAGAGAGAACAATGCTGAGCAAGGAAAGGGAGAGAACATGTCTCCTCATCTCCACTGTCCCAGATCCTTGATGAGATGGGTGTCCCACTCAGGAGATAAATGTCCAGTCTCTAATTAGGTCACATAAGAGGTCACCCTCCTGCATTATTTAATTATTATTTTATCTGGTGATCACACAGCAAACCCAGCCCTTTTGCTTATCTTTTGTTCTTTCCCTCTTCCTCCCCTCCTCCTCTACGGTAAGAGCTATTTCACATATGACAGTTTGGCAGAGGGCTCATCATAAGTTAGTAAGAGTCAACATGCAGGTGAAAGAAGGTCCAGCAAGTTTTGGGACTCCTGTGTGCTCTAGCTCAATTTAGCAGAGATCAGTAGGATCATCATGTGTGGCCCCATTTGCTTCAGGTGTCTTTCTTTTGTGGCTGTCTCACCTGGAAAAGAGGTTGTTAAAGTTTGGTACAGGGTTTTGGCCTTTCTAAGTTCTCTGCTGTAATATCCTGAAATGGTAGCACACATGGTATGTTTCTTAAAACACTCGTCATTCCTCTTTAGAAACTTCTTTTAGCCTCTCCTGACTAACACAACGAGGTAGAAAGACTCAGATGATGCTTTCCTGGATCTGTATCAGGATGCAGCTCCCAGAAGTCTGCTCTGTTAAAGGTTAAGGAAAAGCATTGCTCGCGTTCCATTACACAGCTGATGAACGGTTAGAGACTTGCCTGAGCAACTCTTACTTCCTTAATCCCTTCTAGGTCTCTTATCCAGGATTTTTTCTAGATAATTCTTCAAACTAATTGTATTTCAGCCTACCTAAGCACACCTGTAGTTGAATTATCAACAACCCATTAGTAACGATCTAGCAACTGAATTGGTATACTAGAATTTTATTGTATTTTTAATGGTGATAATTTTATTATCACCATTTCTTTGAAACTTAGAGCCCCATCCCTACCCACCAAACCCAGAGAGAAAAGCCTAGAAATTGCTCAATAGATTTGCATTCATGCTCCTCTCGTTTCATCTCTCCTTGCTGAAGGAAGAGATGGAGGTGTTTTTAATCGATCTTCAAGTAACAAAGTAGTAGCATACGTCACACTCCCCTCCACACACACATATTCATACACACACAATCACTTATGCAGTTAATCCACATTTATCACATCTTTTTTTTGAGGGTCAGATGAATAACTAGAACTGTACACAGTCATCCATTTGCACAGGTCACATGGTTCCTGTCAGTGAAAATTGATCATTGGCTGAGACCAGAAGCCCCATTTCCCACTACCAGAA